CTCATTGCTGATCTCAAAGTGTCCCACATGGCATTTTGCCCACAGTTTGTTCATTTAGTAGTTCTGGTTCCAGTAAGATCAGCAATCATGCAGAGAACAAGCCAAAACAATAACCAGGCTTCAAATGGTCACACAAACACGCATTCAGAGCCTTTGTTCAACTTTCCCCTTACTCTCCAAGAAGCAGTTCATTCCATCATGCTCAGGGTTAGGAACTGGCCGTTCTTACTAGCATAGCCGTGGGGCTTATTTTTCATGTAAGTAGTTTCATTCACGTGGACCCAAAATGCTAGACCGTCTGCATCTCTTGTCACCAAATGCTTCGCCAACTGTTGAGCCCAGGTCATTCAAGAAGTATGATTGAGCTTAAGTAATTGGCACATTTACCAGAATGTCACTTGAGATGTTTTACAATTATTTGTATTTTGAAATTCACAGTAAAATTATTTTATGGATAGAGCCTTAATATGTTTGTATATTGCATGCAGAAGAGTGAACTGAGGGCTCTGTTTACAAGGCCTGACTTCATATTTGATAACACAAAACAATGGCTTTCAGCGGCTGGAAAATACATATGCCATTTTATTGAAGCCTTAGAAAAGAGGAAAGAGCTTTCTATGAAGGGGCTAGCCAACAACTGCAAAGTTTCAGAACACATTTGGCATGAGTACGGTATGTTACTCATTGCTTCCTGAAGTTTAGGCTTGAGATGCTTCATTATCCCCAACTCTCACCTCTCAAACAAGGAAGCAGTGAATAATTAACTTCTCTGGCTTGATATGAGGCGGAATAACTGAATGATTAACAGGGTCTTAGAGGCAGATGGCTTTGAGCTGGGTGTCTTGGTTCTTTCATCTTCTAGTTGCATGAGCACAGTTAGGAAATTCTGTGTGAATTTAGGCATTTTACTTAATTCTTTGGAGCCCACGTTACTTTATCCTTGTGTTAATACTGATTAACACGGAGCACATCATGCTCCAGTGTTAAATCTTGGTATTTATAACCGACAAGGGTCCTGCGAAGCATTTTCTGACCTTGTTTCTCAAATTCAGGATCATTTCTTCAAGGCACCACAGAACTAAAAAGATTTCCAGGCCACTTGAATTGCTACCAAGAGATTATGAAATAGTACTTAGATACCTGCACATAGGCATGGCTAGGAGATCCTTATTTATAGATGAAGCACAATCTGAAGCTTGATTGTGACAGCACAGGTAGAAATTAAGGTCTATGAAATATCACAGAAATGCGCTCTAGGAAGAGCATGTTCCTTAATCCAGACTGCACACAAAAACGTACATGCCCTGAATATTCTCACAATTCATGAAAACACTTTTCCAATTCTACTGAAGGGAATCCATGGGATTTTTTACCTTATAGTTATTTCTGTCTTGTTGATGTTTCTTACAGTATCTCAGATTTATATAATTCCTTTCTGCTATGCATTTTCATGGAAATTTCAGCTCATTTAATATTCATAGTATTTCTATATGACATACAAAACAAACAGCATGAATGCCGTTTTTCCTTTATTTCCTTTGTGTTAACCTAGGAGAAGTATGACACCCAGAGAGGTTAAGCAATTTGCCCAAACATCATGCAGCTGATCAGTAGCCAAAGCAACAAGAAATAAGAAAACTTAGCTCAGTGAGCTTCCCCAGGGCTTCTCAAACCATAGGGTACATGTGAACCACTGGGGGTCTTGCTGCAATGCAGGATCTGAATTCAGCAGGTTTCAGGGTTTCTAGGATTGTGGATGTCTTCTAGCAAGCTTCTAGAAGTTGCTGTTGGAGGTAGTTCTCAGACCATCCCTCAGGATACCTTCATAACACCCTGGGCTTGTGCTTCCCAGTTATCCCCAAGTGCAGTTGTACCACTTGGGTATTCATTCATCTTCCCCACTAGACCATGAATTCTGTGACAGCAGGAAGAGTGTTCATTACTTTGACCTGGCTGTCCCACACCATGCCTGGGAAAAAAGCAACTAACAAATATTTTGGAAGCATGAAGAAGAAAGGACCTAATAAAGCCAGAGTACAAGGGCCAGGGATTTAGCTCAGTGGTTCTGCTGCCTACTTTGCAAGCGCAAGGACCCAAGTTCAATCCCTGGTACCAAAAACAAACAAAACAAAATGAAATAAAGCCACAATGCAAGCTGGACATTGTGATATACACCTATAATTCCCGCATTCTGGGAGACTGAGGCAAGAGGATTACTTCAAGTTTGAGTTTAGCCAGGGCAGTTTGAGACCCTGTCTCAGAATAAAATTATAAAAAGTCTAGTGCAAAGTCAGTTCAAAAGCCCTGGGATCAATCCCTAGTGCCAAAAAACAAAACAAAACAGAATAAAACAAAACAAAACAACAACAACAAAATCCACAAGGCTTACAATGTTATAACTGTGACTACTTGTTTAAAATAATACTTATCACATTTCTTTTCTTCTCTCAAGTCATATTATAGCACATATTTGTAATTGCTACGTTGAAAAAATAACAACCAAAAGAAGCCCTGCAGAGTGAACCAGTTTAGACCAGCAGCACTCCTTCCTGATGTCAGGGTTCCCATGGAACATAATCACATCCTTGGGCCAGTAAGTTAAGCAAGGTTGTTCTAAGTGTAAAGAGTAAGTGCAGCATAGCCCGGGGCAGCAAGGCTGGCTAAGACTCAGAGGAAGGTGGACACACCACTTCCGTAATCAGGTGAGGACAGTAAATCGCCTCAGATTTCATGCTTCTTTCCACATTACCTACTGCATGGAAGCCCACGGAAAAAAACAGTTTCCTCAAGATTCAAGTGACTTTACTCATCAGTGATCTGACAATAGGCTCCAACAAATCTCATGCGGAGAGGGTTGGGGAGATACATCATATCAACGGGAGGTGGTCCTTACACACCGAAGGAAAGCTGTGAAAATGTAGTGTTGAAAAAGCATACGATTTTGTTACCGTCTTTAATGATCAGTTTGACTCTATTTGATTTATGGCTAATTATACAACACCACTGAAAGGTTAGGTAAGAGGTAGTTAAGGACTATGTCTCAAAGGTCCAACAGCTTTCACACTTCATTAGGTCCCTTACAAAACCTTGCATTAATATTTGGGTTAAATCTGAGAAGATAGTCATTACATGGAAAGAATCAGATTTTTGTTAAGCTTGTGTGCCCAATATAAAAAAAAATCAAAAAGTCTAAAGGACTGAGCAATCTTTGCTTTTCAAAAGCTGAAAAAGCAGTTTCACAGTTATATTTTAACACTGACTGTCATAAAATTAAGGAATTAAGAAAACAAGACCAGAATGCATTGTCAGGTTGAACGGATTATTCTTTCTTTCTTTTTTATATGAAAATAATTTTATTGGTACATTTTAAATATACAGTATGATGACATTCATAACTGGACATTCGTACCCTTATATAATATATCTTGGTTCCTATTTTCTCTCCATTCCCCTGCCCTCCCTTCAAACACTCCACCCTTCCCTATTTACAAAGACTTTGCTTCCATTTTCTCATGTTAATTTCATTCCCTTCTTTCTTTTCCCCTACCCCTCCCACTTCCCCTTTGCTCCTTTTCTTCCTATTTCGCATTATCTATTGTACCTTTTAGTCCTTATTTACACTTTCAGTTTCTCACACCAGATAAACAGTTTGGTATTTACACATGTGTGTCCTGTTTATTTCACTTAAAGAGTATGGCCTCAGCTGGGGCTTTGGCTCAGTGGTTCTGCCGCCTGCCTCACAAGCACAAAGGCCAGAGTTCGACCCCTGGTACAAAAAAAAAGTGAAAAAAGAAGGAAAGAATGTAACAAAGCTTTGCCCCACCCCATGCCCACCTTGTAACTTTCCATTGGGTCTTATTGTTTTGTCCCACTTTGTACCCACCTCACCACATGGCTTTGCTTTGAAAAGTGGGATGAACAGGCAATCCACTTTCTAGTTCCCCTTCTGTCTCTCTTAGACAGAAGCTTTCTTTCCCTCAATAAATTTTTTCTACTCTAAAAAAAAAAAAAAAAAAAAAAAGTATGGCCTCAAAGTGCAACCATTTACCTATAAATCAGACAGATTATTCTTGATAGCTTTTAAAATGCAGGCTAAGTCAACAGAAGCAACCCTAAATGCAGCAATACAGATGTGAAAATTGCATTATTTTAGGGAAAAAACCTGAACTCTAGAGATTGGTTTTTAACTAACCTTACTAATGTATTTAAGAGTTACCCTTGGAGGGAGTATAATATTATGGATTATGAAGGCTGAAAATCTAGTTTTGCTGCTTCTTGGTTATTGTATCAAACTGGCAAAATTCCTGCGAGATACATTTCCTTTATCAGTAAGGGGGGTGATTCTTACCTGACTCCTAGGATTAGTATAAGCTTTATATCATGTGACATACAGTAAGCATTTAATCCCAAATAGAAAGTTAGCATGGGTTATACTTTATACTGACTTACGTATACTCTTATAAATTGTTTTCCTGAACAGTCTCTCTTAGGTATTTCCATTCTTCATGCTTAAGTTTTTGTTAATAGGAAATTTTTTTAATGACCCAAGGTTAAGAAAAAAATCTACCTACAAACTGATGAAATATATGTATAAGAAAATGACGATAAAGTGTTGTTATATTGTATGTAAAGATTGTGCTTCTGAGATATTAAGCTTGGTGTGTTAAAAATAGAATGATACAGAATTTCAATAGGTTTATATAGCCTTAGAAATCAACTTCACTCATAATTTTATCTGAAAATTTTAGTCAATCTATCAAATAACAATAGTTTTAAAAATTAAATTTTATGAGGTACAAATTCCCTACAATAAGTGTTATCATTATGTATACCTAAAATATACCAATAAATGTTTTGCTATAAAAAATAAATTTTATGATTCAGTAATACAGATCCTTTGGGAGAAAATTTTCACTTCAATTTATTTGAACATTAATTATAAACCATAAAGTGTTAAATAATATACAAGATTACTTCTACTATAATGTCTTATTGGCTTGTAGAACAAATTGATTGATAATATCAAATTAATATCCCTCAACATATTAAAATACACATTTTTATTCACTGGAGTTCAATTTAAAATGTATATGGAAAGTAGAGGGCTTTCTAAGAAGTTATAACAACATACACAATACACATCAAGTCAACAAATAAAACAAACAAGAGTTTTAGAAGTCTTCCCACAATTTCATCTTCCAGACTTTGGGGAGTGGTAGTAGAAATTAATATCCAGGTTTTACCAGTCATGTTCAGAATACTCCTGCTGTCTATGGTGGAAAAAAAGAGAAAAGTATCTTCAAATGAATATGTTTATAATTCTGGTTCTTTCAACTTAATCTAACGTTTGTATTATAAAAATATAATGATAAAGAGGGAACATTCCGCAGTTCTTTTTAACCAACCAGTGAATTCATCTGTTTTTCTCTCACTTGTTTTGACCACGTTGGGTCAAAGTCAAAGGCATTCTCATATGCCAAACTTACCCCCCACCCCCTTTACTAGGGGTAGAACTCAGGACCTTGAACTTGTAAGGCAGGCACCGGCCACTGAGCTAAAACCCAGGCCCTAAACTTGCCTTTCTTAAAGAGCTGGTTCAAAAAACATTCATAATGACCATTGTCTTCTCTTGTTATCAGTAGTTTATAAAGTTCCTACAACCACTTATCAGTTAATCATGTTTACTGGCACTGGTGAAGTCTCCATTCTCTTCTAACCTGTACAATTAGTGGTATAACAAGAAGTGAGGCATGGGAAAAGGTGGGTCGTGACCAAATTTAAAAAATAAGTAAACAACGAAAGACTTTTTACATTTTCTTGATACTTCCTAAAGATCTTCTTGTGGTTTGAACACTTACTATGACATCAATGTTTAATTTACTCCACACCTCTGTTACAAAAACAGCTTTTTGTATATTGTTTTTAATAACTGAAATTTTTTAAGGTTTTAATTTTAGTTTTCTACTCTGCAAGAATATTTTACTGAGTGCCTGTCAGACAAATTTAGAATCATTTTTAACCTCCTTTTCAGTGAATGCAAAAGCAAATACACAATTTTCAAAGCCTTACACTGAAATTGCTCACATGCACATATACACTTAAAGTGAATGTCAATATTTGTAAAAAGTTGCAATATTTGGATAGTAAAATATTTAATCTGCTACTTTCACTTAAAAATAAAAATGAGTCAGACATAGTGATGCACATATGTAATCCTAGCACTCTGGAAGTCAGAGGCAGGAGGATTTCACGTTCAAGCCTAGCCTGGGCTACTGAGAACTTCGCAAAACTGTCTCAAAATAAATAAAAAATAAAAAGAGTTGGGGATGTAGCTCAGTGTGAAGGACTTGAATTTTAATTTCCAGTATAAACAAAACCCCAAAATAAATAAATAAGGCAGTTTTAGTTCTATAACAGGAGTAAGAGAGAGAAACCTGAAAATCATTTCAGCATTGTCTTATTTTGATTAATCATTGTAATAACTTGTTCCATTCCTAGAGGAAAGAATGACTTGCCCCAAATTACACAGCAATCACTGGCAAAGTAAGCACCTGAAATTTCCCCTACGTTCAACACCTTTGCCTCTGTTTCAACAACAAGAGCAAGAATGACACATAGGTTTGCCAAATGATATCTCCCCTCCTGTGGCCTCTACCTTGAGCGTGGTCTTCTCTTCAGTCTGTGCTCCCAGAGTTACCTCCAATTCTGTCCACAAACAGAGAGGGAGTAGTTAGCAGTGAGCACAGATTGGCGCCTCTTTCTTACCTGAACAAATCCCAAGTGGTAAGAGGTGACAGGTCCTTGGTCTTTTCTGGGTCCGCGGAGGCTAGACCAAAGTGCATTCTGCTGAGGTGGTCTCTTAGCAACCTTGGCTCCTGAGTCAAAACACATTAAAAGGTTTAATTGGTCTGTCAGGTAGGGGAAGAAGTGGGAGAGTAGGGTCTACACGGAGAAACTCTAAAATTACTTTCAAAAGAAGACAGGAAGGAAATGTTGAAGAGCAGGCTTTGGAAAATATGACATCTTAATTCCCTTTTGCCTCAGAATTGTATAGGTAAAGCTTAAATATTTGACAGAAAGATTAAGCTGAATTCTAGGATTTTCCCAGCAGGGCAAACACTCATCACACTTCTTAAAGAAATAATTTCCTAAAAATTATTTTAAACGAGTGTTTAAATATTATGACAAAAAAGTTATTTGTGTATGAGATCTAAATTGGTGAGATTGTCTGACGTTTTTCCAGTTCTAGCGATCAAACCAAGGGTCTCATGTACACTCTACCACCCTACCACTAAGCTACATCCCAGTCACATAGGTCTGATTTTTAACTATTATAAGTTGTAAGATTTTGTATCACTATTACAAACAAATTAGAAAGCAAAGTAGATTTCTTTTTTTGGGGGGGTACCAGGGATCGAACTCAGGTCCTTGTGCTTGCAAGGCAGGCAGCAGAACCACTGAGCCAAATCCCTGGCCCCATGCAAAGTAGATTTCTTAGTAAAAAAAAAAAAAAAAAA